GGAAGATAAAGGAGAGCCCTGGCTGGTGTGGCTCAGTGGATAGTGCGTCGGCCTGTGGCCTAAAGGGTTCCGGGTTCGATTCCTTTCAAGGGCCCATGCCCAGGTGGCAGGCTCAATCTCCAGTGGGGGACTTGCAGGAGGCAGCCAATCAGTGATTCTCATCATGGATGTTTCTCTCTCCCTCTCCCTTCCTCTCTGAAATCAATTAAATAAATAAATAAACAGAATAAACATATATATATATATATGTTTATGAAATGAAGCACGGCCCAGCCAACATCTTGATTTCAGCTCAAAAAACGAACAAACTGATGTTGAGTTCTAGCCGGTGTGTCTCAGTGGCCTGAAGACTGAGGGGTCCCAGGTTCGATTCCAGTCAAGGGCACATGCCCAGGTTGCAGGCTCCATCCCAGTAGGGGGGCGTGCAGGAGGCAGCCGATCCATGGTTCTCTCTGATCATGGATGTTTCTCCCTCTCCCTCCCTCTCCCTTCCTCTCTGACATCAATAAAAATATATTAAAATAAAAAGAAGAAGATAAGGAGAGGACACGGAGAGGCAGAGGAAAGCCTCCGGCCTGGGCCACAGCCCAGCCGCCTGGAGCGGGGCCCGTGGGAGCCGCAGCTCAGCTCTGCCAAAGCCCAGCCCACCCCGTGCAGTCAGGCCTGGAGCGCCGGGTCCCCCTCTGGCAGGAGGCCGGGTGTGTGTGTGTGTGTGTGTGTGTGTGTGTGTGAGAAACGGGCTGGTGGCTGCGGGTCCGGGGTCCGAGGAGGCAGAAACGGGCTGGTGTCTGCGGGGTCCGGGGTCCGGGGGGGCAGAAACGGGCTGGTGTCTGCGGGGTCCGGGGTCCGGGGGGGCAGAAACGGGCTGGTGGCTGCGGGTCCGGGGTCCGGGGGGGCAGAAACGAGCTGGTGGCTGCGGGGTCCGAGGAGGCAGAAACGGGCTGGTGGCTGCGGGTCCGGGGTCCGGGGGGGCAGAAACGGGCTGGTGGCTGCGGGTCCGGGTCCGGGGGGGCAGAAACGGGCTGGTGGCTGCGGGGTCCGGGGGGGCAGAAACGGGCTGGTGGCTGCGGGTCCGGGGTCCAGGGAGGCAGGAACGGGCTGGTGGCTGCGGGTCTGGGGTCCGGGGGGCAGAAAAGGGCTGGTGGCTGCGGGTCCGGGGTCCGGGGGGGCAGAAAAGGGCTGGTGGCTGCGGGTCCGAGGAGGCAGAAACGGGCTGGTGGCTGCGGGTCCGGGGTCCGGGGGGGCAGAAAAGGGCTGGTGGCTGCGGGTCCGAGGAGGCAGAAACGGGCTGGTGGCTCCGGGGTCCGGGGGGCAGAAACGGGCTGGTGGCTGCGGGTCCGGGGTCCGGGGGGCAGAAACGGGCTGGTGGCTGCGGGTCCGGGGTCCGGGGGGGCAGAAAACGGGCTGGTGGCTGCGGGTCCGGGGTCCGGGGGGGCAGAAACGGGCTGGTGGCTGCGGGTCCGGGGTCCGGGGGGGCAGAAACGGGCTGGTGGCTGCGGGTCCGGGGTCCGGGGGGGCAGAAACGGGCTGGTGGCTGCGGGTCCGGGTCCAGGGGGACAGAAACGGGCTGGTGGCTGCGGGTCCGGGGTCCGGGGGGGCAGAAACAGGCTGGTGGCTGCGGGTCCGGGGGGGCAGAAACGGGCTGGTGGCTGCGGGTCCGGGGTCCGGGGGGGCAGAAACGGGCTGGTGGCTGCGGGGCGGGGGGAGGGGGGGCCGGGGAGGCAGAAACGGGCTGGTGGCTGCGGGGCCGGGGCCAGGGAAGCACACTGACTGCTTAGTCACTTCCGCTGGGGAGACAACGTTGTGGGCGCCACAGACAGGAAGGCCGCGAGATCACACACCTGCACCCGCGGGAGGGGGGCTGTTGTGTTCTGTGATTTTATTTTATTTATTTATTTTTGATATATTTTATGGATTTTTTTTTTTAGGAAAGTGATTTAAAAAAAATTTTTTTAATATATATATTTTTTATTGATTTTTTACAGAGAGGAAGGGAGAGAGATAGAGAGCCAGAAACGTCGATGAGAGAGAAACATCGACCAGCCGCCTCCTGCACACCCCACACCGCGGATGTGCCCGCAACCAACGTACACGCCCTTGACCGGAATCGAACCGGGGACCCTTCAGTCCACAGACCCACGCTCTACCACTGAGCCAAACTGGTTTCAGCTATATTTTATTGATTTTTTAAAATATATTTTATTGATTTTTTACAGAGAGGAAGGGAGAGAGACAGAGAGCGAGAAACATCGATGAGAGAGAAACATTGACCAGCTGTCTCCTGCACCCCACCCCCCCTACTGGGAATGTGCCTGCAACCAAGGTACCGGAATCAAACCCAGGACCTTTCAGTCCGCAGACCGACGCTCTATCCATTGAGCCAAACCGGTTTCGGCATGTGTTCTGTGATTTTAGAGAGAAGGGAGAGGGAGAGGGAGGAACATCCATGGGGAGAGAGAATCCTGGATCGGCTGCCTTCTGCATGACCTCCTACACACACACACTCCCCATGGGAGGGAGCCTGTAACCCAGGCTCGTCCCCTGACCGGGAATCGAACCCTGACCTCCTGGTTCCTAGAGAGATGCTCCGCCACTGAGCCACGGGGCTGGGCGCCAAGTGTATCCTGAATCAACCCGCCTGCTCGGCTTCCTGAATAAAACCTCTTGCTTGCCAAAACCGGTTTGGCTCAGTGGATACAGCGTCCACCTGTGGACTGAAGGGTCCCGGGTTCGATTCCCAGTCAAGGGCACATGCCCAGGTTGTGGGCTTGATTCCCAGCATGGGGCGTGCAGGAGGCAGCCGATCCATGATTCTCTCTCTCTCATTATGGATGTTTCTCTCTCTCTCTCCCTCTCCCTTCCTCTCTAAAATCAATAATATATATATATATATATATATTTTAAAACTCCAGTGCTTTATTTCAACACCACTTTCTGTCACTCATCTGAAGCATGAGAAGACCGAGGAGGGTCGGTCCGCCTCCGGCTCAGGCGGCTCTCCAGGAGCACAGTCCTCTGAGGACGTGTTCTTGTCTGTAGGCATTCATCCTGCCCCTGCCTCTCTACTCAATCATTTATTCAGATCACTCCCACCTCCCCCCGCCCCCCGCCCGGCTCTCCAAGGCTCTATCCATCCAGCGAGCTATTCTCTCCTCCACCCAGGTTCCCTCATCCTTTAATCCATTCATTATTCCCTCTTCCCAGGAGCCCTGGAACCCACTGCTCAGATGAGCCACCCGATCTCTGTGGATCCAGTCACTTCACCGGCGGCCGTCTGTATTCGCGCTGCAGCTGCCGTAACAAACGCCCACAAACCCCGTGGCTCAGGGGCCAGGGACGTGTGCTCCCTGACAGTCTGGGTGGGCTGGATCTCAGCATCAGGGGAGGGTGTCCCCCAGGAGGGGGCGCTGGAGCAAAGACCTGGAGAAGGGTGGGCGGGGAGCTCTGAGTGAGGGGCGGGGAGCTCAGCCTCCAGCACGGAGGCCAAGGAGAGGGGGTCACGGGAGGAGTGATGGGAGGGAAAGGAAGGGTGAGATCGGACAGACAATGAGGGGCAGGCATGGCAAGGACATCGAGGGGTGTATCCGTTAATGACAGGAGCCTAACACAGCAGGAAGCCTGGATCTGCCCCGGTTCCTCTGGGTCCGGATTCAGGAGTGGGTTCCGGTGGGTGGGACTGCCTTGGAGTAGCGCTCCTCAAGATGTCCATCAGGCCGAAACCGGTGTGGCTCAGTGGATGGAGCATCGGTCTGTGGACTGAAGGGTCCCGGGTTCGATTCCCATCAAGGCATGTACCTTGGTTGGGGGCACATCCCCGGTAGGGGGTGTGCAGGAGGCAGCTGGTTGATGTTTCTCTCACATCGATGTTTCTGGCTCTCTCTCCCTCTCTCTTCCTCTCTGTAAAAAATCAATAAAATGTATTATATAAAAAAATAAATAAGATGTCACCGAAACCGGTTTGGCTCAGTGGTAGAGCAAGCATCGATCTTCGGACTGAAAGGTCTCAGGTTCGATTCCGGTCAGGGGCATGTACCTTGGTTGCGGGCACATCCCCGGTAGGGGGTGTGCAGAAGGCAGCTGATGGATGTTTCTCTCTCATCAATGTTTTTGGCTCTCTGTCCCTCTCTCTTCCTCTGTAAAAAATCAATAAAATATATTATATATATATTTTTTTTTACAAAAAAAGATGTCTGTCAGGGCACCGTCCCCGAAGGCCTGGCAGAGGGAGGAGGGCTGTGTCTGACTCACTCACACGACTGCCAGGCGGCTGGCAGCAGTTTCAGTTCCTCTCTGGCCGGCCTGGTTTCTTCACGTGCGGACTTCCCCAGAAGGTGGCTTCAGTGGCCTCTGGCCCCGGGGCCAAATTCCCCCAGACAACGATCCCAGGAAG